CCATCTGCAATACAAGCCAGTCATCATTTACAGAACTTATTATTCAACCAACATCCAGAAACTGCCCCAATGTTGTAATCCAGGCAAACCTGGCCCTGCTCCTTGTGGTGGGGGGGGGGGGAGGCTGGCAAAGTATGCCACCTCTTCATACGGCAAGCAGAACCTTGTCTCTGTCTCTTTTTCTCTTCTCTCTTCCCTTTCATTACTCCCTTACCTTCACCAATAAAACTTCCTTTCCATGTAAGTTCTGCCTAATGGTATGTTTGTCCCCATGCCATGGGATCAACCGAGGTCCCACTTCAAGCCATATTCCTAACACCTAACATTTTAGGGATACAGTGAGACCATTATACCCATTATAGTATTAAAGAGAATTTTAGAATTGTTAACATTTTCTAGTTTAGTAATACATCCCCTAAGATACACAACCTCAGCAATCTTTTGTGATGTGGGAAATTCTGACTTGAAAAAATATGAATGAGTATTTGTTACTAGTGTTCAATTGGGTATATCTCAGTTTCTTTGATATGATGGTGCACACATTGCGAGTCTCTGTATGAGAGGGAAATAATAGGTAGTCCTCCTCAAATTGATTTGTCCCTTAGAAGAGCATAACTATTAACATCCACCCCCTACAGCATTCTTCCAACACATTCAGAATTTGCTGAGCTAATCAAATTGCTGCTCAATTCTATCAGCTGGACAGCACTGAGGAGAAAACAGTTTATATGGGGATAACAAAGTACATTTGCTTTGTTTTCTAATGTCATCAGCTGGTACACACTCTTAGCATGCTACAAAAGAAAAATGCACAAAGATTCATAATGTTTAAGCTGTCTGCTTTTCCAAAAATGTTGAAATAAAAAACAAATAACAAACAAATGTATTTTAGAATTGAGCTAGTGCTGTATGTCAGGGATTTTTGGTTAAAGAGAATTCTCAGGAAGGCAGAGAAGTACTTCTGGGCCAGGCTTTGACTCCCTCTGACCCAATACCAACAGTGACAAGCAAAGAGAAATGAAATATAACAATGATGATCTCACAATGGACTTATGAAGGGAACAAAGACACCAAGGAGTTATTGCTAAGAAAAGTAAACAACAGCAACAAGAAAAGGACTACCCACAGTCACACAAAAGACAAAAAAAAAAAAAAAAAAAAAAAAAAGCAAAAGTAAGGGAAACACCCAAAATATACACATCAAGTTACGGGAAGGTGTTTTAAAGCTGCTCCTGCCTGCACTAAGAAGGAGAAAGCATCTAGAGGAACTACTGAATCATAAGAATGGCAACCGTTCCTTCACAGAGTGTTGATTATAGTCAGGAAGGCAGGCTTGGGCCTTCAGTTTTATCAACTAAAACATTAAGTGGTACACTTGAGGTTTTGAATAGGTTTCTGATTTACTGATAAGTTTCCCCACTGTTAATCATTTTAATGCTAAAACAAAGCACAAATGGAAATCTAAGATAAAGCCTGAGAGTGAGCAGGGATTCCATTTGGCACAGCAACATAAGAAATAGTGAAAGTGCTGACTGATCTCACATACCCAGATTTAGGTGCTGGATTATATAAACATTATTTCTTCCTCATGAGCTGTCCTGCCTCAAGAAGGCTCCTGGTGCCTTTCTGATGCAAAGTAGTTAAAATGCAGACCACAATCTAGGTCATAGTAAGATCTCTCTGCACAGGACCATCCGTAGTGTCATAGTGTCGTGTGTGGTAGTGTGGTGGTGTGGAAGACAAAGGAAAAATGCTTTGGATATTAATGGAGTCAAAGCAATATTAAAAAGCTAATTCACCTGGGCATCCAGCTCATAATGTATAGTTGCCTCTGAAAGCTGTAGGTCACTGCCAAGGCCACCATCCTCCAGAAGGCATGGAAGGCCTTGTCGAAGTTTGACCACTATGGGTCAACTGACACAGGGTCCACTTCACACTTCCCAATGGCCTGTGCAAGCTGTCTATTGGGGGAAAACATTAGCAAAACTCCTCCCTAAATGTGCTTTCAGGTTATTTTACCTGTCTCATAACCACATAGATCCAGCCGACAGTGTTGTGTACAAACTTTCCACGAAGTTCAAGAGCCTCAAAGAAGGAAATAGAATACTTGATGGAAGTAACAGGTTGAATTAACTTGCTTTCTGTTGCTGTGATAAGCATCATGACCAAAAGCAACTTGGGGAAGAAAGGATATGTTTTGTTTGCATGTCCCAATCACAGTTCCTCACTGAGGGAAGTCTGGGCAGAAAGTCCAGCAGGATTCTTGGAGAAACACTGCTTACTGGCTTGCTCACCATCATTCAGGCTATCACTGTCCACAGTGGGCTTGGCCCTCCCACATCAATCATAAGCAGGTGACTGTCCAACAGATTTGCATACATGTAAGGATCACCAATCTCACTCTACCAAAACATGATCACTATGTCTACCAAGTCTCTAGAGACTGGAGACTAAGTACTTGACCATAAGAAAAGCGCAATCTTATCTTTTTTGTAGAATCATGTATAAAGCAACTAGAATCACTAAAACTAGGAATGGAACCTGGCACATGTCCTGGAGTTCAAAATGCTTGAAGCAATTTCCACAAGCTCCTCGAAGAAACCCTGTCTCTACTATAAAGAACTAAAAGCCTGATAATTTGGAGCAGCCCTCATCTTTCTCTCCAGCTATACACATTAGTGATTCTATAGGCATGGACTAAGGAACAAACAGCCTAACACCATCTGAGACTAGTTAGAAACACAAACTGCGATACCTCTGCTCCAAATCTAGAGCCTGGGAGTGGAAGCCAGCAATCTATGAGTTAGCAAGGCCTAATGCTCATATTTGGAAATCTCTGTTCTAGGCTCAGGGTGTGTTTCTAGGGAAGCTGGGGAGCCTCATTAAATCCTTGTTAACTGGGTGGCTTGTAATCTCTCCTGTCCTTGCCTCTTAAATTGGTGTGTAATCTCACAGACTGATTTTACCAAAGAGGGTTTGAATCCTAGTTCAAGGTCACTATGAGAAGCCAAGTGAGAGCTCCTTAGCAGGATTTGCAGATTTCGTCACCGTTGTTGGATCACAAAGGAAAGCCTTGCTGACACAGACAATTCTGGGGCCCAGGACTGGGAATGGTGTTAACACAGGTCCCACGGTCTCCTCCATTATACCACACTGCCTCCCTCAGACAGAAAAGAGGGATTTCCAACTCATAAAATCTAGAGAAACTGTGCAGGTGTGTGTAAATGGCTGCTTCCACAGATTTCAGCAAGTAAACCTTGTAGTGAAGACTGCATAGTGCAGGGGGAAAAGGGGCTAGTTTTTTGTTATAACCAATAATAGACAGACTTTTAAAAACTGGATACGGTATGCAGAGATGATATGTAAGGTATGGATATCACTTAATGTTTCCTTAGCTCTCTTCATTTGCATGTGTCATTCAAGTCTCACAACAGATATGGAGAGCAATAGGGTCACCATCATCAAAACAACAAAAACCCTGAACTGCAGAGTGGCTAATAGCTTGTCTACCAGGCCTAACATCAGGGAAAACATGAGCTCAGGCCTATCTGTAATATTCTCAAACCTGTGTAGGATAGCCACAACAAGGGATCTGCACATCTGGAAATCTTCCCCAAATGTACAATCCCCAAGGAAGAACCCAAGCGAAAAACATACAGCTGAAATGGTGAGGTCCTAAAACACCAACACCTCCTCAGAGTGAGTGCTCCTTTAAAAACTCAACACACAAAGCCACCAGCTAAGAGGAAAGGAAAGGAAGAAGAGAAAATAAAAAAGGAAAAGAACAGAAGAAAGAGGGAGAAGCTTATTTCTAGCCTGCATAATCATGCTGGACTTCTTCCCATAGCAGCCTGCTAGGCAAGGCAAACAACCACTCAGACCCTGGGCTGAAGCGCCTCCACACACTTCCAACCAGGCTCCTCCACCTTTCCCGGGACCCCACCCCTGTTGTGACAACTCCACTCTGACTGGTGTGTAGGCAAAAACCCAAAACTCAAAACAAGAAGTGAAAAAAGTGGAGGCAGGAGGATCATGGACATCCTCCACATCCTTGCAATATGCATCCAGCCAGTTCCAGGGCCTTGGAGTCTCCTAGAAAACCTTAGGAGACAGGAGACGATAATGAAGCAGACAGTCCTCTACCCCTGCTGGATTTGTTCCTTCCCACAAAGTCCGGGTAGAAGAATGATAGGTACAGGAGAGGGTTGTTATGAAGTCCAAGGCAAACAAGTTCCTCCTAAAGAACTGTAAGCAATTCTAAACTCTCTAACTGACGTTTGTGGGGTCTGTGATGATGGAAACCTGGGGAAAGTCGGGAGGCGGGGGTAGGGGGAGGAGGGAAAGCAAACCCCAATCTACTCCAGCCATGCTGACCAGTTATATGTGTGAGATGGATTCTGGAGCGCTCTGGGAGGGTAAAAAAATAGGAGCCCAGAGGCCTTGACCCAGCCCCCAACCACTTTTTTAGGTTAGGTCCGGTGGCAAAAAGCCATGGGGCCAGAAGCATGCTACACAAGAAGTACCCGCCTCAGTTTTAGCAGCAACGATCTTACTGGAGATTACAGGATTCATAGATTGGGGTAATTCGCTGATTCCAGCGGAGTGAGCCCTGGTTAGGGGCGCAGCGACCCACTGAGTTCTCCATAACCAGAGCCTCCAGGCGGCACCCTTGGTGGCCCTTCTGCCAAGCCGGCAGTGCAGACCTAAAGGCTCCACCACAACTTTCTTACAGGAATCTGCCCTCTAGGCTGTGTCCAATCTTGCTAGCACTCCCTGTCCCGGGCTGGGGGAGAATCAGAGACCTAGATCCCTTTCCGCGCGCACCAAGCAGCTGCACTAGGCATACAGACCCCTCTTCCCGCCGCCCTCCAACTTGCCCGCGCAGCTCTCTGCGCGCCTACCCTCGCCTCCTGCCCCGCGGCGAGCATCGCAGCCGGCAGCTGCGGTAGCTGCCACTGTAAGCAGGGTGGCCTGGCCTCCCCCACGCTCCGGGAGCCTACCGTGCAGCCTGGCTCGTGCTCGGGCGGTGCCTAGTGCAGGGCACGCGTCCCAACTGGAGACAGTGCTCCCCCGTTGCTACCCCGCGTGGAGATCCGGGCTGCGGACCACGCTGGCCCGGCTCGGCTGCTGGCTGCTCGCTGCTGCGCTGCTCCCGCGCGGGCTCCTGCTGCCGCGCGGCGAGGAGGGAGGGGTCGGGGAAACTCCTAGCAACTCCAAGTCCCAGCACCAGAGCTCCAGCTGCAGCCTCGCGCCAGCCCGCTGCCGCGAGTGCGAGCTAGTGAAGCCAACCTGCCCCCGCCGCTGCCTATGAGCATGCCCAGTGCGGCCGTGGGCGAGCCAAAGCGCCCTGGCCCGGGGCAAAGATCGGTGGCCCAAGGATTGGGGCTGGGCCTCAGGCCGGGAGCCCAGGGGACAAATGGAGGAAGGCCGGGAGAGGCGGATCAGGGAGAGCAAGGCACTGAGAGTAGCATGGGTTGTGAGAAGTTTGTGGACTGGAAAGATGGGCTGATTCTGCGAGCCTCTGCGAGTCAGTCCTCAGAGGGCAACCAGAAAACATGCTAAAGGAATGTGGGCCCAGCAGGTGGGGTTTTATTCAGTCCCAAGCTTACCTAGGAGTGACAAAATCCAAGAGCTAATGGGGCCTGGCACATTCAGTGAAGGAGTGAAGCGGGAGGGAGGAGACCAGCTTAAGAGAGCTCCGCAGGCAGTACAGCTGTCCTGCTGGAAATGCCCAAGGCTATCATGAAAGAAATAGACCTGCATTTGCGGATTTTATTTTATAAATAAATGATCGATATGTAGTTTTTTTCCATGCAAAATGTTTTGGTTATTGACTCTTGCTAGAGAATTTTTAAAAAGTAGTAACAACTCTCTAGAGTCTAGACCAAAAACCCTTAGCTGGGTCCAGTTGCTGCTCAGTCAGTTTGAACCAGAGCTCTGTGAAGAGGTGCTGAGTGCCTGCCCATGGTGGTTTAGGAAGGTGCTGGAAAGGATCCTAGATGATTCAGACTGCCTTCAAAGTGCAAGGGGAAATAGGTTTTCCTGATAGAAGAGAGCTAGCGATAAATGCTGGTGCATTCAGAGAGGGAACTAAGGGAACTAATGTGGAAAGGGGCTTTAGACAACTAACTTCCAGGAGGAGCTTCAAGAGTATAAACACCTGAGTGGGAGGTCACTGCAAGATAAGCTGGGCTTGGTCTAGCTGCTTGACCTTAAAGGCATTTTAGAGTCTGAAACTAAGGAAAGTCCCCACAGCATTAATCCTGACATTATTTAAAATGTTGATATTTTTACCATGCATTTTTGCATTGATTTCTTTCTTTTAGAATACTGCATTAAAACTTCAATGTGATCACTGAGTTCTTTAGCCAACCTTTCTATTTTGTGTCCTATCTCATCCAGGTCCTAGTTAGCTGGAGTAAAAGCTAAAAGCGGCAAGATGGAGTACGTTAAGAGAACCGGAGCAAAGTAGGCTCTGAGGTCTTGACTGCCTGTCTGTGATGTCTCTACTTTATTGGGTAAAACGTGTTAGAACCAGCTGAGATGCTGGAAGAAAAGAACACACACATACACAAAGGTGACTCTTCTGGGAAGATATGTTGAACAATAGGCATTTCCCTGATAAAGCCATCCAGATTCTGCCTATCTCTGGAGAGACAATGGTTGGGTAACTTTTTTACCAAAATGTAATAATCAGGGTTTTTGATGTAATCTCAGTCAGCCTCCATCACTCACCTTAACTTCCAAGCTACATTTCCCTCATGTGTGAAATAGAAGATGGTTCTCATTAGTTAGGAGAGGTTTAGAAGAAGTAATGTGTATTTAAGTTTTTTGTGTTTTAATAGTGTTATGTAATGAGAAAACATGGTCCTTGATCATCATATGTTAAGTTAAACTTGATATAAAAATTCTCTGCTGCATTGCAAAAGTGATCTGAAAAAGCAAACCTCATCCATTCCAGAAGCTTTTTTAATATTGGAATATTGCAAAAAAAAAAATGGAATCAGTTTTTGAGTAATTCAACAGTTTTGTTTACTAAGATCCTCTGACAAGATTATATTGTCAACTTCACCCTTCCTTGCCACCTTAAGTTTTATTTTTCCCCCTCTCCACAGCAGTATTGAAAGTCTAGACAAGATGACTGTCCTTTGTACAAAGTGCCTTCAAACTCATGAACAGTTTGTCAGCTTAGTGACTGCTTCAACTAGACACTCGAGGCTTACCTCAGTGCTGTGTGGTGAGCCTATTTACAGATGAGCTCACCAATTGCTCCTTTCAGAGAGAACAGACTACCCTTTATCTATTGGAAGTATTTTAAGCATGCAGAACTCTCAAAGGAGGGGTGGGGGAATGCTCTTGTATTTACACACAGAAGCTTTCCAGAAGTTTGGAAGTGAGGAAGTACCTAGCCCAGGACTGATAGCAAACAGGTAGTTACAAATATTTGCAAAATAAATAAAAGTTTCCATCATCAAAATCTTCCGGGTCTCTGTTGTACCTCGTCTAGTTCCTAAGAATTATTGTTTTGAAAACCATAATAATAATGCCATAAAGAACAAGAACAGGATGTAAACATTTATATAGGGAGGGGCTCGAAAGAAAAATATTTTGCTTGCATTTTATAGTGTGTGTATGTGTGTGTGTTTGCCTGCATTAGAGAATGAACTAACTACCGCATGCACTTTGTCTCCCTGCTTAAATATTAAAATAATCACATTTTAAATGCACTTGAGTAAATAACAAATGCTATTTTTAAAACACAATACAAAAGAGCTCAGTTCAGATTAAAGACAGTTCCCACCCTGTGAAAAGCTAGTATGGTTTGTTTCTTGCATATAGTTACAGAAATGGACAGTGTGTATGACAGCAAGCACAGATGTTATTTTTGTCTTTGAAGTTTAATCTTGAAATGATAGAAATGAAAAGGACACTGTAGTTCATCAAGCTGCCAAGTTAAAGCACTTTTAACCTATTATTTTGTGAGAAAGAAGAAAAACATAAAAGTGGTATTTCCTTCTTCCTTTGTGGCACAGGTAATCACATGTTTGCAAGGACACCAGACCCTTTTGTGGGTATTAAGTGATGCAAAACAATGACTTCATCTGCAGTGCCCGAGAACTCATTTTGAACCACAACCTAAGGCTCCCATGGATTTTTATCCTGTAGGTAGTGTAAGGCTGCGTGTAGAAGGAATCACTGTCTAAATAGCAAATGGATTATGAACCTAGTGGCTCCTGCCTCTAATAACATCACCTCTGGAAGCAGAGACAGGGGAACTGTCATGAGTTCAAAGGCTATATAGCATGACCATATCTCAAAAGCCAAGAAACAAATACACCTAACGAACTGAGAAGGTCACAGTTTGAGACAGGCGATTGATATCATAGGAAGTGTTTTAATAGATTCACTTAAGATACAATGGTGCCATCAATCATAGTATGCATATGGAACTACAAACACCTCTAACCTCAATATTTGTTTAAAGTTCTTCTATACAGAATAGCTAAATGCCTTCTCAAGTTTTCATTCTGATAACGTGAATTTGGATTTCAAAAAAAAAAAAAAAAAACTTTGGAACCTATCAGCTTAGCAACTTTCAAGTTGAACAGTATCAAACCACCATGTTTGTTAACATAAACTATTTATTATTTGAAATATCATGTGGTCCAATTTTGTTTTTTATATCCCTTCAAATTAGGCTTTTAAAAAAATTATTTGTTTTCTATACATCACAGCCACCGTTTCCCCTCCTTCCATTCCTCCAGCCTCCCTTCTCCCCCAGATCCACCACTCCTCCATTTTGCTTGAGAGGTGAGTGGCCCTCCCAGGAATTATCCACCACTCTCAGAGTAACAAGACAGGATAAGACTAGGCACAAACCCTCACATCAATCCAGTAGGTGAAAGGGGTCTGAAAAATGGACAAAAGAGTCAGAGACACCCACACTCCCGCTGTCAGGGGTCCACAAAAATATCAAGCTAACAGCCATAAAATATATGCAGTGAATCTTAGCACAGATGTGCACAGGCTCCATGATGCCCCTTCAGTCTCTGTGAGCCACTGTGAGCCCTGCTTAGTTGAAGTCTATCAGTCATATTCTCCAGATGTCCTTGACAAGAAAGCTGTAGTGTGGTGTCCAGTGGGTGATTGCTCAGTCTGCACAGAGCCCTAAGGTTGAGTCCCTGGTACATAAAACAGGAAACATACACACATATGTACTTTGTGAGTCTGTTCTGCTATTTTTTCAAAACTACGGATTCTCCTAAAGTTTTAGGGTTCTGTTTTATTTTCAGAGTGTCTTTCTTGGCAGTAGTAAGAGATTTTCAGGCAGGCTTGTGGCTGTTGTAGGTATATATTACCTGTAAATTGGTAAATATATCCATCACAGCTAATGACATCTATTTGCTGGAGTCTAAGAAACTTTCAGAGTTCAGATAGATTTTTGCTTTAGATTTTGTACTGTTCACAGAGTAATTAATCTTAGATTGCAGTTTTATCTAACCAAGACTATTCTAGCTGGTTTATAACTTGTGTCCACCTTCTTTTATAACTGAATTTCATAGTACAATATTCTGACTCCAGTGTATTAACAGTATAGTTTCATTTTCTCTGTGCTTTCAAGAACCTCAGTAAATATTAATCTTGACATCAAATTTTACGAACTTCAGTGTAGCATTCTGGTCAAGTTCTGAAAGACATGACATTTTTTGAGTTCTGCACTTTCTTCTCTCACAGGTTAGTGGTCTCTTCTATTGTTCTTCAAACTTCTTTCTACTTCTCTGATTATACTTGAGATTATACTTTATCTATCGGGCTTCATATGCCAATGTGCAGCTAAGCCCAATACTAACTAGGGGGAGAAGAGATGCTTGGGAGAAGGAAGATGAAATAAAAGCATGTTTTTAATCTTGAAAAACGATGTGTGTGGTTGAACTTGGTTATTCTATAATAGTTGTAATTATTTTAACTGCTTCTTTTCAAACAGACTTACATTTCCTCAAGTGCTGGGAACAAGCCTTTGGAGTCCTCACACAATGACTATCAGGGAGACAGAAGCCCATCAACAAATGACAATTATATGTCACCTTTAGGGTGTATCATCGGAGATCAGAGATAGTTCATTTTAGAGATAAGAAATTCGATATTTAAATGTATATGTAAGTGCAAAATTAAGTTTGCAATAAGTATTACAATCAAAAAGTACACCAGGTTATTAAAGTCTAGAGTAAGAATGGTAAACAAAGGGGAAAAATTGAAGATGATGAACCAAGCCCAAAAAAATAAAAAGTAAAAAAATAGCAAAGAAGAATTTTCAGGCAGAGAAAATAGCATGAACTTTACTGGGAAGGTGTACTGGCTAGTT